GGATATAATATTATACTGCAGCTGTCTTTTTTGCCGACTGTTTATTGTGAGAATACATATCAAGTTTGAGTCAGTCATTTTTGTTATTTGTGTCCCTAGCGGCGAGTACACAGGCAAATAAATGAAGAGACAAGGAAAACCATCATCGGATGGAAATTGTCATTTATTATAATGACGAAAAAACAGGTTTGGTTAAAGCACAGGCCGAGATAATACCATAAACTAGATACGGCTATTACTGTCTTATAACCATTAAAGATATATAATCAAAATGTTCTTCTTAACTACATACATTCATATTAAAACAATTTGTTCACCATATACATCGTCAAATAACATGCATGCAAAATTGTATTAACTTGTAAAACGGTTATCACAAGAATGATTTTACCATAGAAGACTAAGTAAAGTATGGTATGTATTACAATAATTTTAATTAAAATAACAAATATGGGGTATACATAGGCCTATAATCACAGGCATATAATTTAACTAGCCAAATAACCTGAGTCTGGGTGAAAACGCTGATCTACGTCAAAAATATGGGGGATGTATGGGGAGGATTTTAACAGCAGTTAACGCTAGGATGGACAATGGTAAAGTGTTTAACAGAGACACGTCCCAACCAACTCGAGGCTTACCTGTCAAGTTACCTAACTCACGAGGTCATCGGCCTTACAAAACACCTATAAGCCTAGCCGCTTGTCTACACATAACTATTTTTCTTTCTTTTGCCTCCGAAAAATTCTCTTTCCGATGAAGTTAACAAATTTTAAGCCAAATATGTTCTGAAAAATAAATATTTAAAGGTGTCATCCCTTATTATTCAAAATTGCTACCGATATTGTTTACTGTGGCGTGGGGTACGATGTTTACATAATACGTTAAAAGATAGAATGACTTCCTATAGACCGATCGCCTGATGCGTTGTCATTCAAGAATAGTATAGTATAGTTATATATTTTGTCGAACTATTATTAGGTCTAGGCCTATTCGATATATCCGAGCATTGAGAAAGAACGTCTGACGAGGCTGCTTATCACTACCTGTTAGGATAAAAATCACCGATGATGATGATGATTGTGAAACATAACATTACAGTAGCTTATCGGATCTTATTAAAAAGCATCTGATCAGGCTATTCATCACTACCGTTGCCTGTTACAATAAATATCACCATTATGATGATGATGATTGTGAAACATAAAATTATCGAGTCTGATTAAAAAGTATCTGACGAGGCTGTGTTCTGGGGGTCCTCCTTCGGAAAGTGTTAGTTAGGTGGGAGATGAATGACAAAAAATAGATTTTTTTTTTCTTGCAAATTGCAACTTTCATACATTTTACTTCTTTGTTTTAACCGAACACACTATACTGATTATACCTGCTATTCAGTAATCACTCAGGCAGTGTTGTAGTGAAAAAATATTAAAGTAATTTATTCAACTTAATCTATATAAGGTACCGGTACATCATAATGAATTAGTGCATTTTACTTTTGAAAGAATGTAGAAATTCGTCAAAAAATAATCTTTGTAATGTCTGCATCGTACAGATTAATATACAGTACCAAAACATGGCTTAAACAGCTACTTTCGGGTTTCATTAGTCCTGTAAAACATTTTTAAAACCTGAATTCGTTCAGGCCTTCAAAATTGAAATAAAATATTAAATAACTTATAAAGTCTAAACTGTGTCGTTAATATATTAAAATAATTGATACCGGTAATTATTACAAATTATTACGAATTATATAATTCAGACACTTTAAATTTATTAATATTATTATTATCATTATTATTATATTTTTTCTCCAAAATTATAATTTATTAGAATGAAAACCCATAAATTCAAATGAAATCCAAATTAAACTTTTCATTTCAACAAACTTGTGTTAAGATCAAAGTTGGATTACATTACAAATTTTTAGTTAATTCTTAAAAAACCCCACTTGGCCTCGATTTACTCTATGTTAATTTAATGTATCTTAATTTCTTGAATGTTGATTACATTGGTCCTTAGTTAAATACCCAAGTTTTTTTGAGAAAACAAAAAGTGAACCCAGTACCCTGGAGTTGGAAGACCAGCATCTTAACCACCGTGTTAATGTTCTACTTGAAATTCCTCGTGATGCCCAGTTTTTACAGTTGATGTTTATCATTTTTTCATTTGCATTACTCCTTTCTAGGCTGTCAAAATGTGTACATTTTGTCACTCCTAACTACTGAAGATGTGCCTCTTACGCCTGCTACATTGATCACTGTAATGATACATTTCTTTTCTCATTTAAACTTTAAATTGTAAGTTAATATCTTACTGTAATACACAAATTAGGTAATTAAATATGGAATTGATTTTTTTTTTCCAATTTTTTTTTTTTTAGATCATTACAATGATCACTGTAGCAGGGGTCAAAAGCTGAAGAAGCCATTTCCTGGAGCATTTTGCTGTGCATAATTATATCCATCGTCACTGGCTTTCGTAAGACTGGGGAGGGACAACTTGATTTCCTGCTTCACAACAAGACATCCATTTGTAGAAGCCTTTCTGAAGACAGCTTATTTAGTGTGGGCTAGATTGGCACAAGACCAGCTAACTTTGGCTTTGAAAATACAGTAGAAGATTGAATTGTGTTATTTAAACTAATTATACAATGCACACATTGTTTAAAAAAGTTCTAGGTCTTAGGTCCTATGTTTATTAATTGTTAGTATATTATCAATAATGAATGCAATGCTACAAGAACAGGAAGCAGTTTGGCGCAGCGGCAACGGTTTGGTTTTCCAACTTCGAGGTCGGGGTTTCAATCACTCGCTCTACATTAGGCTTGTGTCCTTCGGCAAACACTTTATCTGCAATGCTTCTCTGCACGCAGGAGTATAAATGGGTACCTGGGCTGACTACCAGAACACTTAGCATGTGGACCTAATGACCCGGGAAAGAAATGCGCTTCATAACCGTAAGGAAGAGGCACGTTATAGATGCCCATACCAGTACCAGTACCTCTACCAGAAGATGAAAGAATAAAAATAAAACCTGGAGCGGCTAAAATGTTATCCGAAAATATTTAATAATAATCAATATGCGATTATTATACAGTATTTATGTTTTTGTAATAAATTTTGGGCACTAATCATCAGAGGTCAATGTGCAGGATCCCCTTTCCCTAGCATGCTGTTGTGATGTCATATAAAGTGGAGTTGTAGGTTGGTGTTCTTCCAATCTCAATTTCAAATCCCTTTTTTCCTTACAAATAATTCCTATAAGCCTTATATTGAGAATAGGATATGACATCTAAAAGAAGTACTGTAAAGCCCTTTATTTTCGCGATTTTACAATTATTTGAAATATTTCGTGGCCTTATATTTCCGCGATTTTACAAGTTCCAGTTCCATGATGCAGAAACCTACAATTACGTTTTTTTAGTCTATATTTTAGCTAAAGTTCCCGGTTGGGGTTCTCTCGATTTTTCGAGTAATCTCCCACCCTCCTGATTTTTAGGCTAGCTACAATAGGCAAGCCTACTACTGCCTCCAGAGCAAGCTTCACAAACAAGGTTTTTTCAAATAGAAATGTTAGAAATCTTGCAGCAAATGTAGGCCTTTGACCAAAATGCTTACCAAGAGTTGTAATAGTTAATCATTAACTAATCAAAAATACCTGTATTATAGAAGAATGCTGTGATTTTTATTCCATTGAAGGTAGGCCTAGGCTTGCTAACGCCACCACTCTATTTATCTATTTATCACCACTCTACATTTATTTTTTACATCATATGGCTGTAAATACTCTTTAATCAATTTTTTTTTATAACACCTATTTTAAAAATTCTGTATTATATATATACTTTTCATAATTTATGTTGTTTAAATTTTGTTCATATTGTTATTTGACTTCTATTTCCAAATAAATCATTGTCTTTATTGTTTATAAATAAATTAACTAAATAATTTTGTAAATAAATAAAAATAAAATTAATATATTAATGAATAAATAAATAAATAAATCCTGCTTTTATATTTTTAATACAAGTTCCATTTTGTTTAATTATAGTTAACTTCTGTTTTGTCTGTCATGAACCTTAATATCTTTTGTGTTCAACTTCAATTTGAAACGTTTGATGAAAATTGAAATAAATGTTGTCGTATTTCTAAGACTTCTAAATATCAGCTTAAAAGTGCCACCTTCTCTGTTGCCTGTGGAGTATACGTAGCTGTGCGTGTGTATGCCGTGCACGAAACCAGTGCAAATCAATGCCGCGTCCTACCAGGTACCCATTTAAACTCCTGGGTAGGGGGAGACAAGCGTAAATAAAGGTGCCTTGCCCAAGGACACAAGCGACTTGCACAGTGAGTCAAACCGATGGTTCAGCTTAAAATGAAATAAATAAATTGCTCATTCAAGGAAATGTGCTTTTGTAACAGAAACAGAGTAGTTTTCGATTGCCACATTCCTAAAAATCAAACATGAAACAACGGTCTTTCAAATTTCTGTGTTTAATATATATATATTCTTTGCCTTTTTGGAAATTGCACAACAATAATATATCAAACCAGTACACGTGACAATCTTAAACAATAATCTTTCTTTAAAAAAAAATCACAAAAAATGCATAGATGAAGAACAGATATGGCAATCTGTCTTATAATAACGAAAATATACTATCAGTAATTAACTATAGAAGGGTATAGGTCTACAGATACAAAAAGCAAATATGATTAGGGATTGCATAGATGGAGAAAAGATACGGCAATCTGTCTTATAGTAACGAAAATATACCTATTAGTAAATAACTATACAATGATAGTAGGGTATAGGCCTAGAGATACAAAAAGCAAATGTGATTAGGGATACAAACAGGTGATAAAAGATAGAAAACAATACAATGAAAAAAAATCCCTGTTATTGTTTAAACTATTTATGGAAACAAATAATGATAAAGAGAAACACTCGATAAAACAAACACATAATTATGTATTTTAAAGATTTAGGCGTGAGCATTTCCTGGTACAAGTGTGTAAATATATTGATGGAAAAATACCCATAGTTCATAACAGGCCTATGTGAAAGCTGGGTATTAAATGAGGTAACAAAACAAACAGTTTGTTGGACTATTCACCATAGAGATATAACTCAATAAGACAGGCTTTGTCATGGTACAAAAACAACTGCTTAAAGTTATTGTCACTGTTATTTTGGTTAAAAAATAGAATTTCTTTAACAAAGCAAATTTAATAATACTGTACTGCATGAAGATCTAGTTATTCAAAACTTTAAATAAGTGTTCATTTAGCATCACTCATTATTTTAATTATAAGTCATTTTCTGTTATGTGTTTAAATTTACTGATGGTTCATATTGTAATTCCCCAGAAACCACTTATAATTGCCATTAGGTAGAAATATTTTATGAGTCAGTTGGAAATTTTCTCAAAGGAAAATGTATTTATATATACTGTATATATGACGGTATAAAATGTACAAGCAGCCAGATAGCTGTAAACGTTAACTCACAGATACCAAAACGATGAAACTTTCAAAATAAATGATTTTCTAAAAAGGTAGTATAACAAATATTTCTTAATTGATTAAGGGCACTTGATATTGTAAAAAAGCAATGATCTTTATGACCAATGCAATGCATAGTTCTTCATAAATAATTAGCATAAAAAATCTGTTAAATGGGATGCAGCTAAAACAAGTACAGTATTAAGTGTATATATTAATATGTATACAAAAATAAAACATTTCTTGGCTTACTTATTGCAGACAACCTACTAATCAAACTATCTTACTTATTAATTATAGGATAGGGTTTACATATTCCAATCTTTGGCAATTTTCAAGAGTCCAGAATTGCTAAGACTTGCAAATCAACACATTATTTACATGTTTTGAATCAAGGAACTTGTAAAGGTTTTCTCAACCAACAACCATAGAAATTACAGGTCTCCCTCTATTGAAAGACCCCTCTAATTAAAGACCACCTCCAATTAAAGACCACTTTTCTGTGGTCCCAAATTAACAAATGTCTTTTGTTTTTATAATTCTAATCAGAGACCAAGGCTGCTAAAGGCCATGATAACCCCGGTCCCAAAAGTGGTCTTTAATTAAAAGGGAGACCTGTATTAAGAAATGAGAAGTAAACTGTTATTTACAAAGAAACCTCAAACTTAACAAGCAAAACAGCTGATAATTTCTACACAGTATAAATATCCTATCTTGAATAAAATTGCATAGAAAAAAAGTTGTATTCAATTAAAAAAAAAAACAAAGCATGATACATATGCAGAACATAATTATACTTCACATACAAACATATAAAAATGTATTAACCTTAAACACAAAATAATGTATTAAAATAATCCTAAATGCATAAATATTCCTTATTTTGCACATTTAAATATTATACATTCATTGCATACATTCAAACCGTAAGTAAATGATTATATTTACAATATTGAACAATATTTATTAATGCTTTATGATATATATACAAACTAGTATTATTAACAACATTTAAATATAAAAATAAAGGTATTAAACCTAGCTCTTGAATTTAATATTATTTTTCTTTAGTTAATATTAAATAACACTATTACGAAAAAAATATATATAATTGAATAATGCCCTGTATCTCAGTCAGACATTGATGCCTTATTCATTAACATCACTAATCTCTTCTTTGACAACTGTGGAATGATCCATTGTTAAAGACGCAAGAACCGAACTCATTGGCGTCAACCCCGAGGAAGGGGGTATAACGACGTCTGTTCTTGGGACTGGAATGCTGTCTAACGTGTAAAATACAGATGATTCAGTTTTTATCTGGTTTGTGGAATCCGCTACATACAATGGAGTTTGAACTGCGGTCAGACTTGGATAAGGAAGCGCATATGTTGATGAAATGGGATATGCTACGGTAGTTGATGATGGCAATGGACGATGGCTGATATGAGTTAATGGAGTTGCGGCCTCAGATGTATAAACTGTGCTACTTGAGGCGGGGGGCATTAACCTGGATTCAAAATTTGGAGAGTTATGGTTCTTGACATGGCGACTTAGGCTGTTTGGATGGGCAAATTTTGCAGGACATTTAGTACACTGGTATTGGTCAACCGTGTTTTCCGATCCATCCAGTCCCTGTTTAGTTTCGTGTGTCTTCATGTGGCGTCCGAGATGGTGCGAGCGTGAGAATGCGGCCCCACATTTGCCACAACAGTACGGTTTTTCCCCAGTGTGTGTTCTGACATGGATCACAAGATGATGTTTACGACTAAACATATCACCGCACTCGCGGCAAATGAAGGGTTTCTCACCTGTATGCACTCTCATATGATTGGTCAAAATGCATTTGCGAGCAAAACGAGCACCACACTCCTGGCAATGGAACGGTTTCTCCCCCGTGTGTGAGCGCATATGTCGGACTACATGATGACGATGTTTAAACATTACGTTGCATAGCTGGCACTGGTACATTTTCCCCGATTCTGTATTTTGAACATTAACTGTAACAGGGGCAGCCTTCACACCATTACTCATCGTAGCGCGTGGGTAAATCTTAGTAGTGTTCGGATTTTGAATATTGTCATTCCAATTTGGATCATGGGCTTGGCTTTTCACCAGTGCATTCATGTTATGTGTATATATCTCTTTTAAACGATTCAAGTCTACATACCCTTGTGAAAGCTGGTTGGGTGCAGAAACAACATCGGCCGTGGATAACGCTTGAAATTTTTCAGTAAAACTTGTACTACTGATAGGTGTCAAAGGCGTAGATGAAGAAGTTGGCGACAAAGGTATGCTAGACTCTGAATAAGAGCTACTTGGAGGAGAAGGGGACTTTCTAGGCACTGATAGATCAAGAGCTTCTTCACAAAGGTTGCTTCTGGCAGTTGTAAAGTTTGTTTTCCTGAACGTATTCGATCTGGTTGTTGTTAAATCAACAGCAACATTCATTTCTTTACTTTCCTGACAATGATACTTTGTTTCAAAAGTTAATTCAGCATCACTTTGAAGCTCTTCATGGTTTGTATGTGAATCATGTTTGTTGCTCCCGGAATGCATATCTTTAGCCCAGCCGGACATAACAGGCCTGGAATGGACGGGGACCGAGTGAGTGACAGCTTTCGTTACGCGTGCATTAACAGACACTGTAGAATCAAATGATTTCTGAACATGGTCGTGTACCTCACTGTTTTGGTAGCCCATGCTTGGAGGTGCATACTGTATAACAGCAGGCCTTTTAATTTTAATAGACGGAATGACGGTTGTAGGTTGAGTATCATCCTCAGGATCTCTGCTAGCATTTGAAGCCTCATATCTATTTATAAATGATTTTTTAATTGGTTCACAAGGTCTGTCAATATCTGGAACAAGAGAAACTGTTCCCTGGTCGAAGTCAGTATTGGGTAAGGATTCACTGTCTTGTTTCAAGTTAGGAGATAAGCGTCTGTAGAAGGATTCAGCCTGGATATCAACATGTTTAGGGTTTTCTTCCATGGCAACTGCAGGAGCAATCTGGGAACATGTGTCGTCTGTTCTTGTCATTTTGATATTTGATTCACTCATGTCTGTAGAGTCTATATGATTGGACTGTTGATTTTTCTTATCCAATAAAAAAGCGGCCTGTTCCATTTCTGATGAGGTGTTAAAATAGAATAGAAATAGAATTAAAAAAAAAAAACATAACAGGAAATTGTTAATATAAAAATCATTCAACTGTGAACATAAAATTCTTAATACTATATAATTAAGGACAATTTTAGGAATATTATTATATATTTACACATGCAAGAAATGGAATTTTCTGTCTGTGTTATGCAACTACCTGCTATGTACAATGACTCAGTATAAAGGTGAATAATTTGTACACGTCACTTATCACAGTGCTCCCACTCCCACATTAAAAGTGGGTGGGATTATTGGCACGAGCCATTATTGCCAGGAAACTTAGAGGGCGATATATTTGAGTGATAAAACACATTCTTTGCATACCACTTACGGTATTTTTTTCTTGATTTGGCCAAAACAAACAAAAAATATGTTATTTGTTTCCTCCCCATCCATTTATTTGGTCTGCCTCCAAGTTTTACTTTGACAAAATAAATCAATGATTCTGAAAACTAAATATATGAACAGTGCCTTTCTAGGCTAGTATAGTATTAACCAGTCTATTAGCCTACATATAATTGTGTGTATGTGTGTGTGTGTGTGTGGTAGTTTGGGGTATACACTGTATATGTGGGAAGGACATAAATTATGTGTGTGGGGTATGCATATGTGGTCTGGGAAAAACTGGGAATGGCGTTCTTTTGGTTAAAACAATATTTATAATAATAATTAGGTATATTAAAAAATAACTGATTATAATTATCTTTACATATACATACATACATACATACATACATATATATCTGTCTCTTAATGCTATATACTAATTTTCAATCACCATGAAGGGAATAATTAAGACTTATTTTTACTATTACTAAGCACATATAATCCTGTCTCTTATACACATCTCTGTAAAACTTCTTTTCGAGGCTAATTTTGCAAACTTCATTTAACCGCCTTCAGGGAAATAATTACTAATATTACTAACGCTGTATAATTTAGATAAACCTACCATATCTACAATTACAATACATGGTAGGATTTTACTAAACTACTGTAACACTACAACCAAATTTGAAGTACCATTAATAAGTGCCACACTAAAAATTACAAAAAAAATTTTCATAGGTGCTGCAGTGTCTTTTGGATTATTTACAGTATTGAGATAAGAGTTTTCTTATACCTTGTTTAGCAAACCCGCCAATGATGATGTTAAAATAAAATTTTATTTTTATTAAATTAACACACCAACTGGCACATAAAATATGCATATTTCTTCCTAATTATATAAATTTGAAGCATTTAACCATCAATACTACACTATTTACATTTCATTTACTCCTTAGTTTGGATGTTTATGGCAAAAACATTTGCTAAATAAGAAAACAAAATTTAACTTTTTTTTTAATTCTCCGCTGACGACCATAAAAAAACAAGTTCGCGAAACAAAGTATAACAAATTCTTGTCTAACTTATGCTTTATGCTAACTAAGAAGCTTTATGACCTGTATGACATTGAAAATATTAACAAGATCTAATAAAGATTATCACTAATTTTTGAATAATTGGAAAATATAAAAAAATTATAATAACCACAACAATAACAATGTACTAATATTGATTCAATTATAATCAAGCATAATGCTTTATATTATTTTAATTGCTTTTGGCGAGAAAATACACAAATTCATTACAAAAGAGCAAAATAAAACACAGAGCAAATTTCAAGGAAAATAACCTGGAAAAAATAAAAAGAAAACTCAAGTCAGTGCCAAGGAATAGCAAAAGGGCAACTGTTACCCAAAGGGATGCAAAAAAATAAATGAATAAAAAAATAAATAAATAAAAATAAATTGCTTTGGCATTGTATGGTATATAGATTATTTTATGTTGATTTAAACAAATTCATGAAAAAACAATTTCTGGAACAAAAAATTAAATAATGCAGACTAATACAAAACTTGCATTAACACCAAACCTGCAGAGCAATTAAGTAGGGCTTTGCACACAACCTCTTTTGCTAACAACTACACAAACAACCCCCACCCAATTTTGTATTGTAATTGTATTGACGCAAGCACAAAGATAATAGACTAATAGGTGGGGCACTCCTCCTACACAATTCTTAACAAAGCAAAACCAACAGCAATGGACTCCAGTTCTGTTATTTCATAATGGAAACTGTAGGTGTCATTTGGGTGGGTGGAATTTAAGAGAGGCTTCTTATGGTTATTTTTTTTTTCAGTCATTGGCTAAATTGAGTAGAAAAAAGGCAATTGGTATTGATTTTCAATAGCATAGAATGGACTAACAAACAATTAAGCCAATATAAATAGGCCCAGAGAATTCTGTGGATTTCCTTTTGCTATGACAACCACTAGTGCATAATAATTTAAACATATTACACTAACAATAACTATCTCACTTTTGGCAAGGGTCCAAGGTCCACATACAGTACTGTCAACTCATATAAACAGAACTCTTTGTGTTGACTGAATAACCAGTACATTTTTTTTCAGAAGAACTAGTAATATTTTGCCTAGGCTTAGTGTTTTAGTGTTTTCAGGTTCAAACTGTTATTTTACACACTTTTAAAAGATAGAAAATGATTAATGTATACAGTAAAAGTATATTACTGTACTGTAATTATAGAAGGTATTACATAGGTATAATATTAATTAAAGCAAGAAATTATTTTCAGCTGAGGTATAGGCCCTATTCCATTTAGAACCATCCATGCTTGTTCAAGCAGCTATAATGTACAGGTGGAATGAATAATTTCACTTTTAGTTCGTTAGTGGCACTATACCAAAAGATAGGAGGATAGTGAATCAAACCAAGGATAGCACACTAAGTCTTCTGGTGGTGAATTGAGCAGTACACTGGGAGCCAAACCCCTGCTTTTCCGAAGAGTGTAATGCGTTCTTTATCGTGCACATGAGCAATATTGCACACAGGACCAACAGCTTAAATGCCTCATCCGAAAGATTGTACGTTATCGTAACTTGTATTTCAGCCCTCCAGCTGAAACACAAGAACAACAGCAATGGGAATTGAACCGAGGACCTAGAGATCTCCATGGTTCAGCGCACATGTAGTGGCTACCAACAGTTTTGCCACCTGTGCTAAGCTACTCTCATAACTAGTGTAATGCTATATACTAATTTTCAATCACCATGAAGGGAATAATTAAGACTTATTTTTACTATTACTAAGCACATATAATCTGTATTCAGAAATAATTAAAAATGAATATATCAGTGAGTTCAGATCATTTTGGCTATTGTACAGGCGAGACTTTTTTCATTCCTTGTTTTGTGTACTTTTTTTTTCAAAGATCATAGGAGGAGGGCGGAATAAAAATAAAAATAAAAATGAAATTTGGTTTCTTATTTAGCAAATGGTTTTGCCAAGAACATCCAGATGGAGGAGAAAATAAAAATAAAATTTTATTGGTGAATGTGAAATAAGATGGTTAAATGCTTCAAATTTATATAATTAGGAAGAAATATACATATCTTATCATTGGAGATTTCAAGGCAGCGGAGGGCATAATAAAAATAAAGAAAAACTCATTTTTCCCCTAAAATTTCCACTTTTTTTGTGGCGGCGGGTGCGCTAATTGGCCAAAAATCAAATTTTATTTTTATTCAAAATCATCAATATTTACATTCAGTGGGTTTGCTAAACAAGTTATAAAAAAGTCTCCCCACAGTACTATTGTTACTAAATACATCTGCAATAATTTAGATTTTTTTTCTCTCAATAAAATAATGCCATTCTAAAATATAAGACAAAATAAACAATTAAAAGAACGTACGAAAATTTATTAGCAATTTTCAAGAAGTAAACAAATATTTTTACTTACATTTGAACTGTATGGAAAGGTCAAGGTATAGAAATCAAGACACGTTGCATAGCAAGTCGCGCTGTCCAGATAAAACGTGTAGATGACACACAATGGTTGCGCACAGTATGACTGCCATTACAATCATGCCTTCTATTTATACATCCAAGTCTTCCCTCAAGCACTGTCAAAAGGAAACAGAGATCAAAAACAGTTGTTAGGTCTCACTGACATGACCATTTGACTGGACTTGGCCTGATGATAGAGTTACACCGATGGTGAAGCACACATGCCATGGATGTCCCACCCATGTCGCTTACCTGACGTGAGTGGGTGGGAGATTTCACGTCGGTAAGGCTGCTTTATAACTGTCACTTAAAGTGGTCTAGACAGCGGGAAATTGCGTCTTATATAGGTCAAGTATATAAATACTCGTAAGGAAATGAAAGTTTATTTTTTTTTTCCAGTTACTTTAAAAGCAACCGTCACAAATGCTTACGTCATAAAGTAGATTCTAATAGTCGTCGAAATAATAGTAATTAGGCTAGACACTGAATTACCACCAATCACAGGAGAGAAAACTAAGGATTTTTAGATTTTTAAGTGGACAAGGCAACAACAATTATGTGAGAAAATGGCATTTAGATAGTATAAAAATTAGATATAATTAGGCCAAGCAGAAAATTGATATTTCTTCAGATCCACGCCTACTCCATTTTATTGCATAGTGGTAATTTTTAGATTTTAACTGTTTTGGCTTGAGTAGATCAGCAAAATGGCTTGATTGAAAAAAGTCGACCCCACCCCCACAATATATTTGAAAAAGAAACACATGTTTCACTTGGCTTTTTTACAATTATTTATCAGCAAAAAAATACAATATTTGATAAAACCCATGTGTGCTTCTTTTTCTTTCTGTACTAGGATGTTTCTTCAGATCCTTGCCAACTCCATTTTATTGTATAGTGGTAAGTTTTAGATTATAACTGATTGAAACAAGCTGACCCCACCCCCACAACATATTTGAAAAAGAAACACATGTTTTATTTGTTTTTATTATATTTATTTACAGCCAAAAATACAGTATTTCATACAACCTGTTTGCTTTTTTTCCCTTTCTGTATTAGTATAAACTTAACATTTTCTTGTTTTAATGCTTTTGTTAGACAAAAATGTCAGCATCAATCTACGTTCTGTTATAGATACTGTCTCCGAAAAGTGCATGAACTGGTGCGAAGTACAATATCATTATAATTGCTTTCATTGTTAAAGTTACTACAGTGTAAATGAAAATTAGAAAGTGAAAATATTTCCCTTTACAAATTAAAATACAAATTACAGTATTACAAATAATAAATAATACTATTCCAAGTACATACTTTGCAGAGCTTGAAATTGCCCAGTAGTGGAACCAGAAATTTGCCAAATAGTGGTCTAAGGTCTTGATGGAAGGGATCCAAATTTATTATTATATATGTTTTATATCTAAATAATAATTGTAATTGTTGAATTGAATTTTATCAATAAAAAAAAACTCGCATGAATAAAGTAACCCCAACTGATACCACCACTGAAATTCGCTAGTACCTCTGCCAAAGGTATTCACCATTGTCTGTCTGTTAGCAACATTACACAAAACTAATGAATGGATCATCATAAAATTAATAGTGGAATGAGTGGTACACAAAAGAGAAAGAGAGAAAGAGATGATTTAATTTTGGCAAAGTCATTAATTTTTTAAAAACCCCACGAATAAAAAAAAAATAATGGAATGCCCTGTGTGTGTTGGTATTTAGACACAGGGGTAAAAATAATGGAATCACCCATACACAGCCAGTGTACTGTTTGGTATTCATGCCCAGGCAATCGATAGTGTGACTGCGTTAGTTTCATTTGTTTCAAACTTTTGCATTTATACACTATTTGCTTTTTAATACGGCCTTGGTAAAAGGTAAAAAAAAAACCAAATTGGTGAAAGGTTAAAAAAAATTTGTTAGCCAAGTTTGGACTTTATGCTCAGAGTAAATAACTCAACTGCTTGCCAACAATGTAAGCATGCGGTTATTACTCTGGACCACAAGGTTAACCAGACTTTTTATGTCTTTATGGAATACTTTTTTCAGAATTACCAGATATTATGTGTTTTTATACTTTTAAATAAATAATTCAATAAGCAGTTCAGAATATTACAGAATGTTTAGAGCGTAACATTCTGTAGGAAAACATTATCTTACGATAACAGATGGTGGAGCACCACCACATATGTGAGAGCAGCCCTCAAATGAGGGTGGATTTGAGCCTTACAAGAGCAGCTGAGGATAAAAAAATCTGTGCACTTTTCCGAGTGTACTGCATCCCTTAACACGCATATAGACCTCGCTTACCTTTTGTAAGACAGTGCACTATATACAGGGGCGGATAAAGAGATGTCCAAAAGGGGGGATGTCCGATTGAGATAACACTCCACTATGGGGTCCGGGGGCATACCCCAGCGAAATTTTTGTCTTCTAGACTCTCGAAAATAACCTCTGAGGAATTTTGAGCAGTCAATTTTTTCTTTTTCTTTCCTTTGCCCCCAAAATCTTCCCCTGATATATGATCAGTGGCGTATCTAGGGTCTTGAAGTGGGGTGCTGATTGGGGGGGGGGGGAAGGAAGAAACGAAGGTGAAGTGGGGGCTCGATCATCAGTTGAGGGGGCGCTAACTCGCAAAATAAGGTGATTTTTAACTACTTGGCCGTGATTTTTGGGAGGGCTACTGTGGGGGTGGTCGCAAGTATTTTTTGGTGGGGTGTGCGGACTCCTAGGTACGCCACTGTATATTATACTTGCAGTCTAGCCCTCTGGCTTTGCTAAATACAAGGAGAGCAATAAATGGGAGTTGAACTTCAAATGCTAAAGTGCACACACAGCTGCCACCAGTTTAGGCACCTGACCCAATTTCCTGTTGCCATTGTGTAGTAAGATATCCAGCCAGTGGCCTAACAACAAGCCATCGGGGGGGGGGGGAGAGGGAGGAACATGTGAGTGTCACAAAAGCGACAGAGAGGATGGAATTTAAGTGAATCCTCTCCCTACCTTAAAACACTATGAACCTTATTAAGGCTGAAAAGATATAGGTAATGTCAACACTGTTAAAAATTTGTGAGTTAAAAACCAGGAATATCATATCACAAATATATATATATCAGGAATATGAATATTATTACTAGTTTTGGGTGTCCTACTGGTCCAAATGTCTAGGCTCTCTAGTAGTGTGTTGGGTGTTAGTAGAAGGGGGCCCTCCAGAGTTCCTTTGTACTGGGGGAATGGGACTTCGCCCCCAAGAGCTCATATGCTTTACACCACTGTATCCATTATCCATTGTCTTGTTAAAGAATTCTGTAATTTTTTTTTGTCCAACCAAAGTTGGCATATGGCAAATCGAATGAAAGAATGAAACCTTTATACATATATTAAAGACTTTAAATCACTTAAACCAGATGGGTTAAACACTCGTGTGTGTAGGATGTTTATGGATTGTTATCTGTTATGTTGGCTGTTTATCAATAGTTTTCTGAAGAATCGATTTTCATTTTACCATCTCTCCATGATTCTTGTATTGTAAAATAGAAAACCAAGCAAGAAAAATGAACTGCTGCAGTGTTCATACTTTGTGATGTAACAGCGTGCGCAGCGGTTGCGATTCTGCTGCTCAACCTTGAGGCCAAAGGTTCAATCCATCGCTGTGCATTCTCTTGTGTCCTTAGGCAAAGCACTTTACCTACGTTTGCCTCTCTCCACCCAGGAGTACAAGTGGGTATCTGGTAGGCTCAAACACAAAATGCTTTGATTACAGCTGCAACATTATGGAAATCTCCCCAGGGAGTATGTGTTCCATGTGCTTGATCCAATGACCGGATGTAATAATGTCAAGTAATTAGAGTCATTGTTGGCATTACGCGTTATATAAGTCTAAAATATTATTATTATTATTATTATTATTACTATTATTATTATTATTTTCGGATTACCATTTGAACCACATTACTAACTTCCCAGATTGCTGCCTAAATACTAAAAAAAAAATGGTTTTAACTCTAATTTAATATAAAAATGAGGCATTTTCGTAAAATCAAACCCTTATAAATGAAAATATACTGGGCACTCTGGGAGAACAGTCTTTTTGACTGAAGAGTCCACCCAGTATAAAGAACAAATAAATAAATAAAAATAAAAGATCAGATAAATTTACAAAAGAATTAATAAAATGAACGGGTTTTCTTCAGCGGTTATCAAATGCAAGCCTTTAAAAGTTAGTCCATTTTTTGGAATTTTTCTACGTTAACACACTGTGTTTTACTATATAGCGCAGACACCAGGAAGATTACAAAAGCTGACGAACAGAAGCTCAATATATTTCAAAGAAGATGCCTGAGAAAAATAATGAAGATACGCTGGATAATGAAAATAATACTATATAGCGCAGACACCAGGAAGATTACAAAAGCTGACGAACAGAAGCTCAATATATTTCAAAGAAGATGCCTGAGAAAAATAATGAAGATACGCTGGATAATGAAAATAACAAATGAAGAGCAGTATCAAATTACTAATACAAATGAACAAAGTCAAGAAATACATAAGAGGAGATGGCGATGGATTGGACACCTCCTTCGAAAAGAAAATGGTAACTATGCCAGAAATGCTATCATGTGGACCCCCGAAGGCAGGAGAAAAAGAGGAAGGCCAAGAACAACCTGGAGAAGAACAACTGAAAAAGAAAGAAATGAATTTGGATGGAGAAGCTGGGGTGAAGCTTCAGTAGTGGCCAAAGACAGGAAGAAATGGAAAAACATTACTCAACAAAGCCTCAATCTCCACAGAAAGGAGCAGTAAGGTAAGGTAACACACTGTGTAATTTAAGTAAAATCTGCACTACCTCGCTACGAACACCTGTGAAAATTTTATCAGCAAGGTGTAAGCTGACTGTTTTATATATATTTTAATAGGAATTTAAAAACTGGAGATCCCCTTTAAAGTTACAAATATACAGTATTTACAATTGTTCAAGTTCACTGTTAATGTCAGGATTAATCCATACTCAATTTAATACTTGTATAGGTGTAATTTTTCCCTACCTGACGTGGAAATGTACCGAATACTCAGTACATTTGAAAACAATTGCGAAAAAAATCGCAATCTC